CCCTTTCCCTGTCCCCCCACGTGCCCCCACAGTCCTGCTTCGACTGCCAGTCCGGCCGGCCGGTGGCCGGCTCGATCACCTACGGCGTCGGTCTGTGTGCCGCGTGCGCCGGGACCCACGACACCGGGAGCATGCCCATTTCCGAGGTCAAGCGCTTTTCGGCTGGCGACTGGACCGAAGAGCAGCTGCGTGCTTTCCGCGTTGGCGGTGCCAACAACGCCCGTGAGTTCATCTCCAAGAATGGCATCCCCTCTGGCTCCCTCGGCCCGAGCCCCACCATTGTGGACGTTCTCTCCTTCTATACGAGCCCCACTCTCGAGGCGTACAAGGGGCATCTCGCCGGGGCTGTGGCCGCCGAGAGCACGGTGTGCGTCTCCCTCTTCATCCCATCGCCCCCAGCCTGCCGGGCCCCCGCTTCCGCGCTCACCCCCTGCTGCCCTTTCATTGTCCGCTTGCCATCTGGCCGCCATGCCTGCCAGGCGCCCGGGTGCCCTGGTGCTCGACCTCTCGGACCTCTCGGGCCTCGGTCAGAAGTCCTCCAAGCTCCAGGCCACCATGCCGGAGGATGATGACTTCGATTTTGACGGCAACTTCGATGTTGCCTCGGTGATGGCCGGCAGTCGTGCCGGCGCCACCACCCCGGCCGCCGCTTCCCAGGCCCCTGCGAAGGTGCGCTTGCTTTTGGTCTTTCACCTGCTTTCTCCCCGGGCCCGGGGCAAGGCCGGCAGCAAGGCAATGGCGCCAATCGTTCGACCAGCCCCCGCCCATGGGCCGGCCCCTGCTCACCACATGGTCGGTCTCTCCCTCTTCCACCTTCCCTGGCGCGCCAATGTAGCCGGCTACTTCATCCTTTGCCCCCCGTCGGCCGGGGGGTGGTCTGGGTGCCGCGCGTGTGGGCACCGGCCTCGGGGCCACCCGCCTTGGGGCCACCCCCATGCCGGCGGCTTCCGCCTCAGCCAGCGCAGTGTCGCCCAGTGCTTCGGGGATTTCCTTCGATGAGCTTGAGCGCCAGGCCCGTCTGGAGGAGGCCCGCGCCAAGGAGCAGGCTGCCCAGCGCTTGGCCGAGTCGTCGGCCCTCCGGAGCGACTTCATGAGCGGCTCTTCGGCCACCACGGCTGCCCCGGTCGCTGCTGCGCCCACTTCCTTTAACAACCCCCCGTGCGTCCGACATTGCCCGCTCCTGCCGCCTCCCCCCTGCCCGGCATCTGATCTTGCCTCAAGGGGACAGGGGAAACGCCCCTCTCTCCTCTTCCTGCCCCCCCCCCCCGGCTGACTCATGCCCGGTGCTTGCCTCTCTCCTTCTCTCTCTCTCTCTCCCCGCGCTCCCTTGCCTCCATTTTGCGCCCCTCCCATCGCACAGTCCCCGCCATACGGACCTCAACGCCGAGAGCGAGAACCTGGCCAAGGCCAGCGCCATGGACCGTCTTGGTATGGGTGCTGGCCGCCTTGGGTTTGGCGCCCACGCTGCCGCTGCCCCGAAGAAGCCGGCCACCACATTCGAGCCGAGTGCGTACCGACACATGGCATCTTTCTGGGGCGGGGCCCATCTGCGTGCGCTTGACTTGTGTGTGTGTGTGTGTCCGTGTGTGTGTCCGTGTGTGTGTCCGTGTGTGTGTGCCCGTGTATGTGCCCGTGTGTGTGTGCCCGTGTGTGTGTGCCCGTGTGTGTGTGCCCGTGTGTGTGTGCCCGTGTGTGCCATCGCCTACTCACCCAAGACGGTCCTCGCCCGCGCGTCTGTCTTCAGTGTCCGATAATGATCGGCAGAAGTACAGCTCAGCCAAGAGCATTTCCTCGGATACCTTCTTCGGCCGCGACAACTGTGCGTTTCTGAGCCTCCCCATCTGTCCTTTCGGCGTTGCCACGTGTAAATCCTTCGGCGACTGACTTGCTTCCTTGCGATCCTCCGATTACCCCTTCGCCCTCTTCTTTTGCCATCCGTGCGCAGACGGCGGCAACCAGTACCATGGCGGGGACTCCGGAAGGTATGGTGCCAATGGCTATGGCTACTAAGCGCTGAGAAGACGCCGCAGACAGAGAGGGAGGGCGTGTGCGTGTGTGCGTGTGTGTTTGCGCACATGCGTGCGTGGCTCGGACCAGGGTCCTGAGCTTCAGGGAATACGTGCGGTGACCGTGAGAGCGAATGCCTGGACACAGTGCACCCAAGCACCCTTTCCTTTCTGCCCTTTTTTTCGCATGGGATTCCCACAGCCATGAAGTCCCTTCCCCTACTCAGGGACACGGGAGCTCATGCCATGCCTTCAGTTCAAGAGAGATAGATGTTGCTGATGATCCTAGACGTATGTGTGTATGAGTGCAGGGGGGGGGGGGGGGTGCATGTATTTGCCTGTTGCAGACGATACAGGACAGTAGCTATGTCCCTGGTTGACTTGGCGCGCGTCTGCCTGGGCGAGAGAGAGAGAGAGAGAGAGAGAGAGCTAGAGCAGGGGGCAGGGACAAGAAACAAGATGACGGAAAGAAAAGGCCCGAGAACAAATGACAGCGAGGACAGGGAGCTGAACATGCGGGTGACCGGATCTGGCAAGCCGTGCCAGGTGAAATATTGACTGTGCTGTCCCACCTCTTTCGGGCAACGTCTCAGCGCCGGGGGCGGCTACTACCCCTCGGACCCGACCGACCCGAGCCTCTACAGCCATGGCGGCTACAGTGGCAACCAGCATCACCCCATGTTCATGGACTCCGGCCGTGGCAGTGGCGCCGGCGGTGGCGGCGGGGGTGTGGGCTACAGCAGCAGCAGCAGCAGCGGCGGCGGCGCCGGCGCCGGCGCCGGCCCCGGCGGCCGCACTTCCTATGGGCTGTATGACAGCGGCACGGACAACTACTCCGGCGTCCGGTCGGATCCCTTCGGCTCGCACCAGCAACACCAGCAGCAGCAGCACAATCATCATCACGGTGGCCAGGGCATGGGTGGCGGCCCCAATCATCCAGGCGCCGGGGAGCTGTATGTGTCGCCTTCCGGCAATGCCATGGGCTATCGCATGGGGGGCAGTGCGCAGCAGAACGACAGTTTGTACGCGAACTTCGTGGCGTCCCCGGGTGCCACGGCCACCATGGCATTTGAGACCGGCATGAACACGGTTAAGGAGTCCAGCAAGAAGGTATGCAAGTGGGCACCATCTGGGGTGATCAGGACCGGGCCTCAGACTTGCCAACAGGTGGGCGGGCTATATTTCCCTGAGTGAGGGGGTCGGCCTTTCTTTCCGGCCTCAACTCATTATCCTTGTCGGTGCCTGACCAATGACGCGGGCATCGCCCCTCTTTTCGGGTCTTCTTTTTTTTTTTCCCCCATCTCCCTGCCCGGCGCGTGCTTGCTTTTCCTATTCGTGGCGCGGGCCTACAATGGCAGGTCTGGGATCTGGCCACGGACCTTCTGGGCGACCTGCAGACCCGCTACGGGTAAATCGAGACACAGGAGGGGGAGGTCCGAGGAGTGCTGCTTGACCAACGTGCCGCAACGCCCTGCTCAGGGAAGATGTCCTTTCGCATCGGCCCTCCCATCCTCATTTCCCCTGGCCGCCCTTTGAGTCGCTCGCTCGGCCAGCATCCCACTGGGGCTGCACGCCTGGAACAGGAGGACAAGGCATCCGCACTCATGCGCCCCCCCCCCCCCACACACACACACACCCCACGCCCGCTCGCCCTTGTGCGAGCGCGGACACCCGGGCGCGCGGGGGCCCGGGGGCATGCCGTCGACCCTGGCGCGGACTTGACATGTGCATATATGCGGGCTAGCATGGCTGCCGGTGTCTACCCCGGCTGGCAGCCTGTATTCCGCGCAAGCGTATGCTGCTGTCCTTGCAAAAGGCACAATAAAAGAACCACGCAAAAGGGCAATTTTCGGCCACTACAACCTTTGATAGAAAAGAAGAAGGGGGGCGGGCGATGGCGAATCGAGTGCAGAGGGGACACGTGTCGTTGTTGTACAAGAGGGGGGGGGGAGGGGGGACTGTAGTGTGAGGGGAGAGGGAGAAGGGCCACTACTGGACAGGTATATGCAGGCACACGCTGTGTGCGGGCATACAGAAACCACAAGCAGAGAACACTCCCATGATGGAGATCGACAGAAGAAGGAGCTGATATCACCTGCCGGAGGATCGGGCAGGGCGCTTGGTGGCCCAGCGGGCCGTCGGGAGGACGGCATCCACGGAGGACGTGTGAGAGGAGCGGGCTCCCCCTGGCAGGGAGGCGGAACGGGATGGGGAAAGAGGGGGAGAGGCATCCCTGCCGGCAGGGGTGCCGCCCGAGGCCGCCAGGCGGGTGGCAAATGACACAGGGCCGACAACTTTTCCGGCTGACTGTGTCGTACTGCCGCTATTGCCGCCAGGCGGCCGCGAGGAAAGGGCCCGGGGATCGATGGAGGTAGTGGTGGGGGTGCTGTTGGCGGCAGTGGCAATGGAGGGAGCCGTGGTGTCGAAAGGGACTGGGGTTGTTGTGGCGACAGCACGGGGCGGCGTTTTCCTAGGCGACAGTGGCGTCTGGCTCAAGGAGGAAACGGAGGCAGGTCAGCGCCATGCAGCCATGAGCGTGGACTCTCTCGCGCGCACGCGCGCGTAGGGGCCTGTTGGCCACCCGGCTGAGCTCTGGCCCACCCTTCCTCTCCCATCCACCCTCTCATTTGGAGAAGGGCAGCACGCAGCGGGCATCCATGTGTGTGTGCGTGTGTGTGTGTGCGCGCGCGCGTGAGTGTGTGTGTGTGTGTGTGTGTGTGTGTGTGTGTGTGTGTGTGTGTGCGTCGACGCTCGTTGCATGCCCGCAACCGCATGCCCGCAACCGCATGCCCGCAACCGCATGCCCGCAACCGCATGCCGATGCAGCATCCGGAGGACGGGCCTCCCTCAGGGAGGAAGAAGGCAGGAGAGGAGGGAGGGCCGCGAGTAGCATGGGAGGCAAAATCGCAGCAGCCGAGACTCTGCACCATCAGATTGATGTACACACACACACACACATACACACACAAAAGCTCAGCTTCGCACACATGCACACGCACATGCACACGCACACCACCAACACATATACATATACGTATATATATATATATACATCACTCGCTCACGATCTTCTTCGAGGGCGAGGGCGGGGGTGGCGCTGACCGGCCAGCTTGCGACAGCCTCTCAGTGCCCGAGCGTACCGCGGGAGAGATGGACGCGCTGCCACCATTGGTTGACTGCTTGGCCGGCGGCAGGCGAGCCGAGGCCTTCGGACTGGAGCCTGCCCCGGGCGCCTTGCGAGGAGTGCCCGGCCCGGGAGGCGGGGTAATGGCCCGCGGACCGGCCGAGGCGGGCTTCTTGGAAGAGGCCCCACCACCATTGGTAAGGCCAGCCGGCGGAGAAGGAGTGGTCTGAGCACCGGGCCCGGTCTTCGATGCGCGCTTCGACGCACCCGGGCTGTTAGTGATGACGGAGCCGGCGCTGCTGCCACCGCGCGGGGAGGCCCCGCCGCCGTTCAGGCCATTGGCTGAATTGATCTTGGCCTTGCCGGCACCAAGCCCTGGGGCCAATGCCGCAGCGCGTGCCCCGGGGCCCTTGGGACTGGTTGAAAGGCCGCCGGCCGCCCCGCGACCCGATGACCGGCCCGCCGCCGCCCCGCGGGCCATGCGTCCCGATCCCATCGGCGGCGGGGTGCCCTCATAGGTGGGCGAGCTGTCCCCGGAAGATTGAGAAGCCGCCGCCACGGCCGCCGCCTCGCTGTTCAAGATCACCTGGGCAAAATGCTCAAACATCGACCCAGACGGGGCGGCCGGGTTGATCTTGCCGGCACGGCCGTCAGCGGCGGCGGCGGCTGGCCGCGACCCGCTCAACAGCGAGGGATCCATCCCCATGGCGCTGGTGCTGGAAGGCCTGGCGACGGCCGGTACCGAGGTCGGCTGCTGCTGCTGCTGCTGCTGCTGTTGCTGTTGCTGTTGCTGCTGTTGCTGCTGCTGTTGCTGTTGTTGCTGCTGCTGTTGCTGGGAGTAAAAAAGCGACAAGACAGGCTCATTGTAGGGATTGGCCTGGGCGCCTGCGGAGGAGGAAGCACCAGGCAATGGCCCGACCCCGGCGGCATGGGCAAGATGGGCCCCGGGCGGCCGAGAGGCAAGGCTGCCGAGAGGCCCGGGCCCCGGGCCGCCGGCCCGGATGCCGCCATACTGCGCGGCCATCGGCAGGAAACCGACATTCGGGTCCATGACAGCGCCGGGGCTGTGAGTGGCAGCCGCCGCCGCAGCCGCTGCAAGTGCCGGATTCGAGAGTATGGCCTTGGCACCGGGGCTGTGGATGTCATCGGCGCTGTCTCCGGTGATGGCACCGGCGGCCTCGGCCGCGGCCGCGGCTGCCGCAATGGCCGCCACAGCCACCGAGGCGGCGGCCGAATTTGGTGGCAAAGCCGCGGCCGTGGCCATATCGTCGGACATGTCCCCCATGCTGGAACCACCGCCAAGGCCGGCCGTCAGATCCGCGGGAAAGCCTTTGGCCGCGGCGACACGCTCGCGGAATTGGCGCTCTTGGCGCTGGAGCTGGTGCTCTTTCTGAATGTGGGCCAGCTGCTGCTGCAGCAGGAGCTGATGGTGCTGGTACTGCTGGTCCTGTTGCGTTTGCAGATCAACCTTGGTGGAGTCCGGATCCAGGGACAAGGGTTGACCATCGGGCCCGGTGGGGTTGTTGATGGCGGCGACAGCCACGGCGGCGGCCGCCGCGGCGGCACTGTTCACCAACATCAGCCCGGTCAGGGCTCGCTGTGGCAGATGCGACCGCTGGTGCTCCTTCAGCGTGTCCGAGCGGCCGAACTGCTTGTTGCAGCCGGGCTCCGAGCAGACGTACGGCCGCTCGCCGGTGTGCGTGCGTAGATGCCTTGTCAGGTGCCCGGTTCGCGAGAAGCTCTTCTTGCAATCGCCATATGGGCACACATGCCTTTGTTGCACATTGAAAGGGGGAGAGTTAGAGGAAAGGACCGGAGGGACCCCGTCGACCGATCGAGAGAGCGAAAGGAACGACCCGTGACAGGGTAGAGAGGCATCCACCACAGGGCAGCGACACGGAGGGGATGCCGGGCGGCGG